CAAGACCCCAATACTCCCAAGTTGACCTGGACAATGCCTTCAAGAACTGCTGACTGAGTTTAGGCGATTTTCTCGATGGGGTACACATTTTGCAGCGAGACTTGGACAGTTACATAGTTAGGGCCTTAGTATGGTATTGCATCAAAATCTCATCACTAGGTTTTCGGTGGACAGTGCCTTCAAGGCATATGCAGCAAGCACTTTTTTCATTTCGTATCGTTTCTATCATGAAGCACTCGTAGGAAGTATAGCAACAGCCAAAGAAGTGAAAGGAAGTGTGGTTGCCTAGGAGCGCTCTGCAAATAAACTTGCGCGGTACTGTTTTGCACCAGCATTGCACACCGCCAAAGCATAGTGCACTATTAACAATGGTCATCTTTGCTTGTTCATATATTGTTTACTCGCAACATAATGACTGATTACATTACACATTGATCTTTTCTGTAGATCTTGCTATCAATTTTTGGATCGCACAGATAAATGGGAGATAACATTGCAAAAATTTCGAAACTTGTGCTTCGCTGAGTGTTACGCTTTGCCTACATGACAGATTTGGCTGCTGGTAAATACCATACTGCACAAGCACACCAGCGCTATGTAATAGCAAATATAAGCTGTCTGATGGTAATCGATATGTTTGTTTTGATTAATTTTTACGCGGTGCATATCGCCCTTCACTCAGGGGACAGTCTAGTCGCATTCTTTGTCACACAAAATTTTTTGAAAGTGATAAAAAAGACCTGCAGATTGCTATATAAATACAGTACTTACCTTAGTTGTTAGACATCGCGCGGATTCGAATGTTTAGGGAAATAAGATAGTGTCAACTGCTAGCAAGTGAAAATTAGTCTTTATGCTTACCCTAGCAATGCGCGCAAGATATCCATAAACTTTGAGCTTGTCATCAGTGGGGAATAATCACATTAATGGCATCTCAGGAACCATTAAAATCATATAAAAATAATTTTTTGAAAAAATCATGCTTTTTGTTTTGATGAACTATATCCGCAAGTTTTCACATGAATATCTATTTTAGATGCCAACATTTCGGCCAAAGAAAGTACTTATTTTGAGCAAGACTACCCGATTTGAATTTGAGAAGCGTTTGCATAATATCGGCGATGACAAGGAACTGGAAAACCTTGTAAGTTTACTGCTCTATTTTTATTTGTGTGTTAATTCAACTTTTTTAGTTGAGACGTCGAGGTTCTGACTATCATTTGTTGTTTTCGAAGCATCAGAGCCACTATGACTATCTGAAGACTATTCAGTCTGAACTTGAGTAGGTTTTTTTGATTATGCTTGTATTTGATCTCACTTGATATTTTTCTGTTTTCCCATTCATTTTGCTCTTCTTTACGTAGT